TGTGATGAGAGCTGTGAGATGTAACACTGGAAGACATTGCTAGTTCCATTTATCAGGTCTGGGAAAGATCTTCTTATCTCCACCTTTGGAGATGTAACTAGAGAACCTGGGTCATGAAAGAAAGACAGAACAAGAATTCATGCTTCTGTTTCTCAGCCATACAATCAAAGCAATATGTTACTTGTAAAGTTGCATTACCTGTTACAGTTACTGTCTTTTCACTAGAAGAAAAACATGTATGTTGTGCTTTGCATGTGATTGACTTCAGCTTCCTCCATTTATAACTGGGAACTTCCACATTGCTGGTAATAAGAGAGCTGCTTTTAACCTGATTCTCTGTCAGCCTCGAAGGAGCATTTCCATCCAAAAGCCAGGTGATCTTTGCATTCAGAGAAGTGTGAACCAGACAAGTAGCTTTCACAGAAGATTGTGTCATTACAACAGCAAAAACTGGATTCACAATTTCAATGACAGGAGGGGTGCTTGAAGCTAAAATGAAAGAAAAAAGAAATGAAAAGAATCATGATTAAAATCCCAATAAATGATCACAAAGTTATCAGTTACTTTTTATTTCCTGGTTGTGCATCTTTGCTTAGATGAAGCTCTCTATAGGCAAACAAGAAGGGAATATACAGAGAAACACAGAGAAATAAATAAAGTGCCTTCTGTTTGGAAAAGTTGTTGGAGTTTTTACTTTGGAGCAAAAATTATTCTGCATTGCTTCTAGGCATGAATGAGTATATAAAGTAGTTTATCAAGTGTATTTTTTGTCACTGTGTACTACACTGGCAACCTGCCAAGGGTCTTCTCATTACTAGGACTGCTAGACAATTACAATTTGCCAAAATTACAAGCTGAAGGAGAAGTAGCTTTCACGAAACACCTCTACTCTGAGAAACCACTCTCAGCTCTCTAGGGTGGATCCAAATTATAGCAAGCTACTTTTCTGGATCTTATTGAGAAAGTTGCAATCTTAAATCTGGGATCTACAAGAAACCTCTTTGCTTGTGAGTAGGCATTTTTAAAGCTGATCTAAAACAAACAAAAAAACATTTTGTCAGCAGATACTTTCAGATAGAAGAACAAATGTCCCTGCAGATGCAGAAGATAAATCCAGGAATCAGAGAAAGAAACATTTAGGTAGAACTTTTCACTTACTCTGACAAATGTCTGTTGTTTTTGCAATTTTAGTGCCTTGTTTAATCGACTCGCAGGTAAAGCTTGACCCTGTCTTCCAGTCCTTCATATCTACTTTAATCTCAGTGGTTCGACTGTAGGTTATCGCCTCCCCATCTAAACTCTGGAATGTTGTTTCCTTTGGGGAGATGTTTTGTATCTCTTGGCCATTCTTGTACCACTTCACAGTCAATTCATTGGGAAAATACCCTCTCAAATCGCAGACGAGTCTGACTTCTGAGAGCTCCATTTCAGAGTACAAAGTGATATTTGGCTGGATAATCCTTACAGCTGTGGAATAGAAAAGATTACGAGTTATTAAATGTTGCACCATGAGTCTTATCAGTTATTTTCTAAAACATAAAATCTAATAAGAGTTAATCTATACATACCTTCAAAATGTGGTCTTAAATTATCAACCAACTTTGAATTTACGGTGCAGTTTGCTTTTATTTATGCTAGATGGCAGAGTTTTACATTTTACATTCTATCAAAATGCAAAAATGGGGTTAAGAATCTGTTGCCCAGATGTTCAGTTTGACAGAGCAGAGCAACCAGGGCATGCAATGAGCGGAAGGTTTGTGTAACACCCGAGTCCAAAATTGGGACCAAAAAACAGAAGTGAAACAGCAGAAAGCAACAGAGCAGCACAGACAACAGGTGTGAGGTGCAGTTATGCCAGAAAGAGAAACAGAGAGCACATTTAAATATCTCAGCTTGGTTTACATAAGATATCACACAGAGAATCTCTCATGACTTTGCCAAAGGTTTTAGTTTACAAGTCCAGTAATAACAAACTGAAAAGAGTAACCGACTGTGAAATGTGGCAATTTACATACAGCGCTCAACTTGGATCATTGATTCCAGGTGCTGGTGGTGGGATGATGATAACAATGTCAAACAGAAACCTCTAAATTATAAAAAGTTTTAAAATATTGTTAAGGAGAAATAATCAGAAAAAGCCCAACAATTGTGTTCTTTAAAAAAAAAAAGTGAAGCTTTTATATAAGCACAATTGTGGCTACTTACATGATCTAAAAAGAATAAGAAAAGTAATAAAAAATATATTTTTGTTTTTTTATGAATTAAATGTCTTTTGTAGGTGCTTCTTTTTTTCATTTGACCTGAAAAAAAAAAAGAAGACGAAAACATGCATTAATGACAGCATTCTACCTTTTTTAAAAACTATGTTTCTTGTTGTATTAAAAAAATTAATACAACGATCAGCTAGATTTTTATAACATCTTATGAACTTTACAACTTCAGCAATAAAAAGTCCAAAGGAGGCAATAACCTTTTAGAAGAAATTTCTTATATCTTACAGGGGTTTAGAATTTTTAAGATAATAATTTATTTTCAAATTTCTACTTTCATACAATACTAGAATAATCAGCAAATGCTCTCTACACATGAATAAAACTGAACTTTTAATGAAAAAAATAAATGTAATTAATAATAAATTAAATTACAAAAAAAAAAAATACATAAAAAACATAAAGCAGCCACCAGAATGGCTTCTTACTTAATTATGAGCATTAATAAGCTTTACTTTTTATTATAATGACACATGAA